GGAAACACCAGTACAAGACATGGCAGGGATATTGGAATTATCAGACTGTGAATTCAAAACAACTATGACTAATAAGGGCTCTAATGAAAAAAAGTAGACAATATGTAAAAACAGATGAGCAAAGACAGCAAGATAGAAATCCTAAGAAAAATTTTAAAAAATACTAGAACTGATGCAGACACCAGCCTGCAGTATCTGTGTCATTATGGATGAAATGAGACATTCACATGGACTACTGAGTCCGGTGGAGAGAAAGGAAAAGCATGCCTTTTTCTCTCAAGGGGAGCAAAATCTTTAGCCCTTACCAGGACCAGCCTTTATGGACTTTCTTGGCACATTGCAATATGGTCTTCATTTACTATGCACAGGTTGCTTTAGGTGGTTACCTTTTACAGACAACAAAGGAGCCAATGTTGCTAATCACATCACAGAAGAGGGATATTTTCAAATGAAAAGGGAAAAGTGGTTGAACAAGTTACACTCATCCTTGGAAGCTTTAGCATGGATTTTAGGACGTTATTTTGCAGTAAATGTTTGCCACAAATCCAGGTGGCAAAAAGCAAGTTTTTAGCAAAAAGTTTTTAGCAAAAAGCAAGACTCAAAGTGGCCTGGTCATATTGCAGCCTTGATTCCCCACGGGAGAACCTATCCATGGGTTTACGTCCTGTGCATCTCTGAGTGGGAGCTGGGCCCATGCCACGCAGAATGGTCTCCTACATATAACAGAAACGACAAATGCCTTTGGTGGGTTTATTAGTACACTGGACACAGCTGAGGAAAGGATCTCTGAGCCAGATGATATAGGATATATCAACAGAATCCTCAAAAATCAAAAAGCAAATGTTGAAAAATACAAACAGAGTATCCAACTACTACGGCAAAACAATGAAAAGTATGATACGTGTAGAATGAGAATATCAAAAGGGGAAGAAAGAAAGGAACAGAAGAAATATGTAAAACAATAAGAATTTTCCCAAATTAAATAAAAATAAGAAACATCCCATGTTCATGGGTATGAATATGTGGATTCAATATTGTCAAAATGTCATTTCTTCCCAATTTAATGTTTAGATTCAATGCAAACCCAATTAAACCAATTCTAAAGTTTGTATGGAGAGGCAAAAGATACAGAATAGTGAAAACAATGTTGAAGGACAATAACATCAAATTGGGAAGAAATGACATTTCAAGTAGACTATCACTATCCTACTTCACAACTTAAAGCAATAGTAAATCAAGAAGTATGTATGGTATTAGTGAAAATCAGACAAATAGGTAAATGGATCAGAATAGAGAGCCCAGAGGTAAACTCACATAAATATAGTCTTTGTCAAAGAAGCAAAGACAATATAATGGAGCAAAGATACCCTTTTCAACAAATAGTGCTGGAACTGGACATCCGCATGCAAAAAAATGAACCTAGACATAAACTTTACACCCTTTGCAAAAAATAACTCAATGTGGATCACAGACCTAAATGTAAAATGTAAAACTATAAAACTAGGAGAAGATATTGTAATAAAAAATGTAGATATACTTGTAGGCAATGACCTTTTAGATACAACACCAATAAATTTAGATTTGTATCTTAATTTTACTAAAATTAAAACTTAACTTACTGCCCTGGCTGGTGTGGCTCAGTAGATTGAGTGCTGGCCTGCAAACCATAGGGTCCTCAGTTCAATTCCCAGTCAGGGCACATGCCTGGGTTGCAGACCAGGCCCCTGGTATGGGGTGCACAAGAGGCAACCACACATTGATGTTTCTCTCCCTCTCTCATTACCTTCCCCTCTCTCTAAAAATAAATAAATACAATCTTTTTTTAAGCCATATGATCTCCAAAAGACAAAGTTAAGAGACTGAGACTACAAGCCACATACCAGGAGTAAATAATTGTAAAAGACATATCTGATAAAGGATTGTTACCACAAATGCACAAATAACTCTTAAAACTTAATAAGAAAAAAACAATGAAAAACTGGGAAAAGATTTTGATCTCACCAAATGAAATATATAGGTAGAAAATAAACATATGAAAAGATGTTCATGCCCTGGCTGGTGTAGCTCAGTGGATTGAGCGCGGGCCTGTGAATCACACGATGGCGGTTCAATTCCCAGTCAGGGCACATGCCTGGGTTGCAGGCCAGTTCCCAGCAGGGGACTTATGAGAGGCAACCATACATTGATATTTCTCTCCTTCTCTCCTTCCCTTCCCCTCTAAAGATAAATAAATAAAATCTTTAAAAAAAAAGATGTTCAACATATGTCATCAAGGAAATGCAAATTTCCTATTAGAATACCAAAATCTTGAAAACTGACAAAGCCAAAGACTGTAGAGATGTGGAGCTAAAGGAACTCTCATACATGGCTGGTGGAAATGCATTCTAGGGAAGTGCAAGTATATACCTTCTACTCAGGGTCTGTTGGGGGTTAGCAGGGAACTTCTAGGGGTGCAGACACAGGGATGTGCTAACCCTCTAGCCTTGTAATTCCCACCCAACTCTGTCTAGAGAGAGACAGTTGCCTAAGATTAGACAACATGACTTCCACTGTTGGGCTCCACCTGGTCTGGAATACCTTTCTTCTTCTCTATCTGCAAATATCGCTTAATGGTTTAGAGTGGAGTTCCAGAGTCTGACCTCAAGGGCAGATCCCAATTCCTCCACTCAATCACTGGGTGAATTTGGACAAAGCCCTCCTCCACCTGTTGGAGCTTCAAATGGACAGTAGGGCTCATAACAACACCTACCTACCACAGTGGGATAAAATTGATAAGATGATGAACAGCAAATGCTTGGCATAGTACCTGGTGTAGTAAAATCGATAATCTATCCTTGTCATAATTGTGGTTGTTATCATTATTAACTTCATATTTAGCCTTGGTTTATTCTGTCCTTTATAAAATCTTATCTAACCACTCCCGGTCAAAATAATTTCCCTCTTTTCTTTGAATTACCAAAAGCATTTACTTTTCCTATCACTGTTTTTGTTACAGAACAGGCCCCACATGCAAGGACAGTATACTAATACCATCCGGACCACCTACTGGGCTTGTCTGTCCGCCACCAGAAGAAAGATATTTCTCAATGCCAGAGACTTGTGAAAAGGAAAGGTTTATTTAAAGATATACAGACTTAGCCCTGACTGGTGTAGCTCAGTGGATTGAGCACAGGCCTGCGAACCAAAAGATCATGGTTCAGTTCCCCGTCAGGGCACATGCCTGGGTTGCAGGCCAGTTCCCAGCAGGGGCCAGTTCCCAGCAGGGGATGCACCAGAAGCAACCATATATTGACATTTCTCTCTTTCTCTCCTTCCCTTCCCTTCTAAAGATAAATAAATAAAAATAAAAATAAAAACTTTGCATCACTGATCAGCCTTTATGTTAAAATAAATAATAAATAAATAAATAAATATATACAGACTTAAAGTAGTGACTCAATGTCCCCATTAAAATATCAAAGTCCTTTTGGATACCCACAGACACCCACAGCACTTCCTTCTTCCCCTGCCCTAATTTGGGGTACCATAACTCAGGAAAAGAAGCACATGTCCTGGATCCAGGCTCCTGCCATCGTCTGGTGGGTTGTTGTCCAGACAGGATCTCTAATTAATTCAAAGCCATGTGGTACCTTCTCATGGCTTACTGGCAAGAGTTCTTTCACTCTTCTTCTAGGCAGTCTCATCTTCCCCTCACCAGAGCTGCGGAGAGGGTAGGGTCACCACTTTGGCAAAGCTGAGTGGTACTCCTCCAATGGCTCCTGTGTTTGGGTTTTAAATCCCCATTCTAGTCCTCCTTTGCAGCTCCATTACTGACTCCTCCTACAATTGGCTACACTTACCAACATTCCTGTATTATTCCAAGTTTACTGGGCTGCCATCATGAGTCTGGGCAGGTGTGGCCCCCTAGCCTGGAGCCAACCATCTCCAAGCTCTCATGCAGGTGCTGTAACTTGGGGGACTTGTCCCCAGTTACATCTTGGGTAGAAGTCACTTCCATCCCCCTGGCTCAGAGCATGGCCACAGCTATTTAACATATCTATGCAGCCAGTTAAAGGTTATAGATATGTTAAATGACCATGCCAGAGGTTAGCTTGGAAACTGTGGCTATGCAAAACAGCTTTCAATGGCCCCACTCCATTTGTCCCTTCCCCAACTCACACCTGTGGCAGGGGAGGGGTGAGAACATCTTAATATTTCCGGGACACCTTGAGTTCTGGACCCCATTCCAAGTCCCTTTTTTGGGCCTCCCTCTTGGCTGCGCCCTGTTACAATTTGGCAGCTAATATTTACTGCCCTGCATCTTGGGTTACCTTTCTGTTTACATACTGTTTTATTTCCTCCTATCAAGTATAAGATTTTTAAAGAAAAGACCTAAGTCTAAGTTGTCTTACATATCTTGGCTCTTACGTGATTGAGACCTTTACATCTTGTCCTTGGAACCAACCCCACCCTCTCCATTTAAAGTTGAAGGTTAGCTGAGTTAGTTATCGTAAGAAAAAATTGTGCACGAAAAGCAAGGGATAGCCTGGGATCCTGGGGGTGGAAATGGAAGTAGAAATTAGGTTGGGATCCTCAATTCTATCTGCAGATGGAGATAGAATTGAAGGAAAAATGTTTTTTTAAAGATAACTATCTCCTTTTATTTATGATCTTCCAGCAGATCGCAATAAATTAAGGAGAGAAAAGGAGCACTGCCATTGTTTGCCCCTATTTCTCCTGCCTCTTCTTTCCCAGGCAGAATGACAAATATAACAAATAGCAGAGCTCGTGCGGAGGAAAGCAGGCGTGGTGCCAAAGCTCCTGGCAAGGACAGTAACTGCAGCTAATTACAGGAACTGAGAAAGTTGACCCAAGAATACTAACTTCCAGGCCACTAACCTCCATTCCAACACTGGGAAACCAGTGGTTGGAGGAGACTGGGCCTGCCCAGGCTGGTTGTGGGAGGGGCCCAGGGCTGTGGATCCTGCCTTGCTCCACCCCCGGAGCTGGGCGGTGACCACTAAGCGGAACCACAGGCCTCTGCAAGGTCTTTTCCGGATGCCTGGAGCGCAGGGATAGCAGTTTCCCCACTCAGGTTAGAAGGCAGGCAGCAAGATGAGCTTCGCTCCCGCATTTCTGAGCGCGGCGGAAGTGCAGGACCACCTCCGCTGCTCCAGCCTCCTCATTCCGCCTCTGGAGGTGGCTCTAGCCAACTTCTCCAGTGGACCCGAAGGAGGGGTCACTCAGCCGGTCCGCACTGTGGTGCCGGTGGCTAAGCACAGAGGGTGAGTAAGAAAAGCCAGGGCTGTGGGGTGGGGGTAGGGTGCTAGAGAAACTCGTAAGGAGGAAGAGTACAGATACGATGAAGCAGGAGAGGAGGGTTTACCTAATCACTAATAACAGCAGCCACCTAACACGTATGCTCCCCAGTGTGCCAAGTTCACTCTTTACAGGAATTACCTTGTTTAAATTCAACACACTCCTCCTTACAGGTAGGTATTCATGCAGTCATTTTACTGATGGAAAACTGAGACTCTTGAGAGGTTAAGTGAAGTACCCAAGGTTGTCCAGTTAATAAGTGGCAGAACTGGGATGGTTTTTCTCATTCCGACCTGGACTCTTGAACTTGCTGTGCATATTGCCAAAGGGAAGGGCAGAAGAATGGGGGTGTGAGAGGGCCAGTACAGCAGTAATAAGGAAGGAGAAAGGAAGGTATGTGGCGCCAGCATTGGTGGGGAGAGGTTGAAGCTGTTCCCTCTCTCCTTGTAGTTTCCTGGGGGTCATGCCTGCCTACAGTGCTGCAGAGGATGCTTTGACCACCAAGTTGGTCACCTTCTATGAGGGTCGCAGCACCACCTCCACTGTTCCCTCCCACCAGGCCACTGTGCTACTCTTTGAGCCACGCAATGGCTCCCTTCTGGCGGTGAGCAACTCCCTGCCCTGGGGTGGAGTGAGCCCTGGCCCAGAGCCAGGCTAGGAATTAATTCTCCATGAGCCCAGGGGAGTTTTGATTATGACTACACATGCCCTTCTCTAAGTGGCTAGATACCAATGGGAGTGAAGGTTATCTGTGACCATAAATCTGTTTCTAGATCCATAACCCAACAACAGAGCCTGCTGCTGCTTCGAGTGTATGACATTGTAGAGGTAATCTCGTCGTTCTCTCTGACCCTATACCAGTTACTGCAAATAATGCAACTTGAACAAAGCCAGTACCCAGGGAAATATTTAGTGAAGCTCTGTAACGTGGAGGAAAAGGGATATTCTGTAACCCCTGGGAATCTTTTCTGAGGGGTACCTGGTGTCCTGTTTTAACATTTGACAATATAAGACAGTAGTGGTAGCCCACTTTTTTGAGCATTTTGTGTTTGTCAGGCTTCGTTCTAAACACTTCATATATATTAACTTTTTAACACAACCAATCTGAGGTAAGTAATATTATTACACTTGTTTTTCAGATAATGAAACTGAATCATAAAACAAGTATGCCAAATTTACTTACCCAGGCTTAGGCACTTAATAAGAGGCCTACTCAGTCTAAGTCCAGGGCCTGTACTTTCTTAAGACTGTGCTATACTGCCTTTCTAACTGCCACCTGCTGAGAGTACTTACTGTGTGTCAGGAAGGAGAAGCAATCTCATTAAATTATTTCACTGTTCCTCCACTGTTCTTCTGTGGAATTTTCTTATTACACCCCCACTATTACTCTGTTGCAGTCTCAGAATAACTTTGTTTGACATCACACAGATGGTTAATGAAAGACCCCAAAATATCTACTTTGTACCCTCCAGGCTGACTGTGATACCAGGCAGCTAAGAACTCATCAGGGACAAGGACAATCACAATTTCACCTGAACCACCCCTGGGTCCTTAGCTCTTCCTATGCCCCAAGGAACCTAACTGTTCATTACTCCTCTGGGAAGAGTATCTGGCTCTTCCCACTTATACTCATCGTATGGAGATGACATCCATCAGTGGTTTCCCAGAAAAGTGGGACCAGCTCAAACTTCCCAGTTAAATGACAAGGTTTTAGATCTTTCCTGAATCTGCTCAGTAGTAAGGGATTCAGTTTCTTGTCTGTAAAATGAGAATACTGATAACCTCCCAGTGAGGATCAAGATGAATAACTTATAAGTAGAGGAGAAGAGCCAAGCATAATTTAGAATCACTTAGGGAGCTTGTAAAAACAAAGATGTCTGCCTGCCCTCCCAGAGAGTAAGATTTAGTTCATTGAGGGGTCCTATGTCATTATCTGTATCATCATAAATCTCCCTGGAGTTGAGAGCCACTGAGGTGGAGTTTCATGGCCCTTGCATAGATGTCAAATGACTTATTCCTTAGGTTCCTCCTTAATTTGGTGTTTCGAGAATTCCAGAGCAAGAAAATGGGTGATTATTGAAGGTTCACCATGTGCTAGATGTTTTCATGTATGTCAATGCATTTCTTCACAAAAGCCTCTGAATGGTTGGCATTTTCTTTGTTTTTACAGGTGAGGAAAATAAGTGCTTAGAGATTAAGCACTTATTTGGTGCTTAATCTCTTGCAGTTGATATTGGTTCAAAGTTTTGAACCAATATCAACTTATTTCTTATAAGTCAAGGAATTGGATGCAGGTCTGACACCAAGCCCCTCCTCTTTGTAGAATATGATAATACTTCCTAGAGATACTTTTTTAGAGTGCCTTCTCTTCACTTAAGTAGTGGATAGGGGTGCTCCTTGCTCACTGTCTTTTTCTCCAAGGTCATGGATGGAAATATCATAACTGCAAAGAGAACAGCTGCAGTGTCTGCCATTGCCACCAAGGTAAGATTAGTGCTTGGCTGTGTTGTTGAGGTGAGTTGGCAGGTTGGATCAGGTGTCTCAAACTTGAATGTCTAAGGGAGAAATGGGGAACCTATTTTAGTCTTCCTTTGGACAGAGCTGGAACTCCACATGCCAAATATGGGGTGTCCAGTGAACACAGTGTTTCATGAATTTATTAACTGCCATTTAATGAGCATGGCCAGATTACAGGTATCTTACATGCATTATTCCTGATCTTCACCTCAATCTTACAGAGTAGATATCATTACCTATAGTTGCCAGGAGTAGGGAATGTTGTTCAGAGAGGGTAAGTGAGTTGCTTAGGATCACACAGCTACTAAATGGCAGAGCAAGAATTTAAAATTTGGCCCCTTTGACTCCCAAGACTGCTATTTGCCCCTGTACCACACAGTTGCTGGTAAGTCTATGGTTGCCCCATAGGCTACAGCCAGTACTGTACAAGGAGCAGAGAGAGAGAACCAAACAGATCCAAGCTAGACTCCTATGTTCATTCAGCCAGTATCATTGAGACTCTGCCACATGGCAGTCACTGTTGAGGATGTGGCAGTGAACAGAACAGAGAGTGGCACATACAGGGGAAGTTAGACAATAAACAAAAAATAAAACACATAGTATGATTTGCTGAAAAGATAATTAGCAAACAAGAAACCTTTTGAGTTTAACAATATGTCAGAATTTACTTAAAATAAAACACTGCCACTAGCAACAAAAAACATAGTATATTGGAAGGATGAAAATGAGGCAAAATTGAGAGTATTGGGGAGGGTTGACATTTGAAATTATCAAGAAGAGACTTCACTGAGAAGGTGACATTTAAGTAAAGACTGAAGGAAGTGAGTAGAATGGGGAGGAAAGGATGCACTCCCCAGGCAGAAGGGAATGATGGGGTGATGCTGTTCCTAAGTAGAGTCAGGGAATTCTATAACAGTGTTATTAGAGGTTAGAGTTTTAGAGCGAAGAAGAGGACACCTAGAAAACTGAGTGTGGGGAATATACAGAATCTGGAATCTTGCACATTAAATGAAGGACAAGTTCTGGGGACTCTGGCTTATGAGATGTAAGTATGAAGGAAATGTGAACTAGCAGAGGGTGGGACCAGCAAAGACCAAGTGTTCAGATTGTGTGTTAATGGGGGGGAAAGGTGAGGATTAATCTGGTAATTGGATAAGAAGAAGTAGACTAGGTACACACCTTGATGAACTGTTTTTTAAAATTTATACCCAGGCCCAACTCAAATTAAAATGATAAGTGGGCTGCTTTAGAAATGCTCATTGGTAACTTAGGAACAGAGTGACTCTAATACTGCCTTACACTGGTAAATGACTCTGGTCCTTTTCAAAATAATTTCCAACCCATTGTCTTGACTTATCTTTGTATTTCAGTGAGAATGGGAGAGAGGGGGGAAACAGGGCAGGTGGGGCTAGGATGGGAGAAATAGACAAAAAATGTACTTGAAAAATAACTAAATAAAAATTTTAAAAAAAAGAAAGGCAGAGCAAATATTAATGATCTTATTTAATACACGAGGAAATGGAGACTTGGGTTTCCTGAAGTCACACATCAGACAGCTGTGGGGTCTTCCAAGGCTGCCTGGTCTTCTTGTCCCAGTTCAGTAGCTTCCAACCCAAGCTATTTAGCAGTATCAGCTGAGAAGTTTAAAAGAAAACAATTTAGGTTCTCAAAACTCTGAATTGAAATCACTTGGGGTGGAGCTCAAGACCCTAGTTTTTTTAATAGTCTCTGGTCTATTCTGATGATCAACCAGGTATGGGAACCAAAGTAGTCTAGACCTATATCTTGGTTCCACTGTGCTTTGTTGCATTGATAAAAACCTGCACTCCCAGAAGAGCTGAGAGTCATTGGACTGATGGTTCAGAGTGTAGGCTGAAACTCCACAGCTATATTTCCAGGGACTCAGATAGGGTATTCTGTAAGGAGCAAAGAGTCTGTTTTACTTTTTGCTCTGTAAGAGTACAGTGTTTTCTTTTTCACCTCTTCTCTTTCATTTAGGGCTTTTGGGAGGAGAAGCATAGGAATTCTCAAGTCTGACAAACATTGTACCCTGTTTACATTTAAGTTAAATAGAACCTGAGTTGGGGGCTCTAACATGCTTCCTCAAGGTGACAGTATGTATCAGGGTTTATCCTTGGTGTGCATATTCAACAAATATTCAACAAATATTTGAATGCTAACCAGGTGCCAGGCTCAGTGCTCAAACACAGAATGGTGAGTAAAATCAGAGCAGGGAGCACCAAGTCCATTTAGACAGATAAATATTAATCCAAAGGTCACGCCAATAAATCTGAAACCCTAACAAATACATTGAATTAAAGGAATGAAGTGCTTGTGAGAGTGTAAAACAGGAGTCTTGGGAAGGCTTTTCCTGTATAAGGGATATTTGAGCTGAGATCTGGAAGATAATAGTAGTTAGTCATTGAGGGGCAGAGGGGAAAGTATCAGGCAGAGGAAACAACCTGTGCAAAGACCCTGTGTTTGACAGAGGCACATATGCTCAGGAAACTGCAAAGAGACTAATGTGGCTAGAAGACAGGAGAGCAAGACATGAGAAGGGGCTGGAAAGCTAGAAGGCCCAGACCATGTAAATGCAAATGAAACACAGACTTTCCAACTCTAAGTAAGAAACTAACAGATTCATCTATGTTTTTTTTTAATTATCTGCATGCTTACAGAAAAAGAATGAAGTGCCACTAATCCTATTATGATTTAATAAATCTTATAAACAATATGCTGTTTATAAAAAGAGATATCAAATATTACCAAGACAATAAATTATTAAGTAAGACAACCCATCAAAATTAGACATTTGGAGTAAAGGATTCAAGGTTATTTTTACAGGACACTGTAACAATTTCTGAAGCCCAAGTATATACTTCTAAGACTAGATTAATATTAACTGAGAACAGAAAATGATTTATTTTAAAAAAATCACCTAGTTCTCCTTATTGGACAGATGTGTAAGAGTGGTAGTCTTGTGGATGTTGTAATTTTGAAACCTTTTCAAAGCAGATTCTCTGATCTATAGTTTATGTCACAGGATAGTATTTCTCCTGAAGCAATTGGAAAACATCTGGTAATATTCCTGGGACTTTTTTGCCAGTAATTAATGATTCAGAAAATGTTTACATTTAAGGCTACACTTCAGAATTTCAATAGTTACCATTGTAGGAAAGAGCAGATTCAAGAAGCTGAAATTTTTGCAAAATAAAACAGAAAAAGCAGAATAGGATCCTACTTTAAAAAATGGTTCAGGGGAAAGTAATGGGAGAAAACTGGGGACAACTGTAATTGAACAACAATTTTAAAAAAGGTTATTACAATTGTTATTTCTGAGTAAATGAGGCAAGCAACTTAAAAAAAAATCATTCGAGGGGCAAGTGATGTCCTTCCTCTATACCAGTATTTTTCAACCAAAGACAATTTTGCTACCTGCCCAAGTGACATTTAGCAATCTGAAGACATTTTTGGTTGTCATAGTTGAAGAAGAGTAGATAGGCGGTGCTACCAGCATCTAATGGATAGAGGCCAAGGATGCTGCTAAATATGTTGTAATGCACAGGACAGCCCACCCACCCACTTCCTGCTAAGAAAGAGTTATCCAATCCAGATGTCAGTAGTCCTGAGGTCAAGAAACTCTGCTCTGTTTCTTACAGATAATAGTATATATGTGCCAATTTTGTGCAAATAAGATAGTTCCTGTCTTCACTGGGCCTATAGATCAGTACAGGAAAATAAAACTATAAACAAATAAGTGCTATGAAGTGGGGAATCCTATCAGGGAGGTCAGAAAGTCTTCCCTGAGATGGCAAGATGAGTTGAGGATAGAACTCCACTCCCAAATGCAGACACACATACACCCTCAGTCAATGCCACAAATACCAGCTCTACATTCCTCTTTAAAGGAAGACAGAGGCTGAGAAAGGGTAAACAAAGAGGGTCTCAGAAAATACAGCTGAGAACTCTGGGCCTCAAGGGTACCTGGATTCCAGAGCTATGAGAAGTGGGTGGCTATCATGGGGCAGCACAGGAGAAAGAATATGGGCTTTGGAGAATGAAAGATGTGGTTTTATAGCCCTCCTGCATCATGGGATAGTTGGAGAGCTATAGTAACTTAAGTAACTTGCTCAGTTACTTACTCAGTTATATAACTCAACAATTTACTTAACCTCTCTGGATCTCAATTTCTTTATCAGCAGGAGGAAGATAGACATAGGAGTGTCAAGCTGATATGGTCAGGGTATGGACTAAATGAGATTATGCAGATAAAGCATTGGCATATATTAGGTGCTCAGTGAAAGCATCTTCCCTTCCTACTCTCCCAAGAGGAATGGAAACACTAAATAACATCTCCCTGATTTCCCAAGAGATTTTTAAAAATATATTTGTCTTCTAACGCTATAAATCTAAAGGGTACAATGTGTTAATTTTGTATATTTATAGATTGTAACATGGTTGCCATTGTAAGGATAATTCGTATGTCTATCATTTATATAATTATCCTTTCTTTTTAGTGGTTAGAATAATTAAATTGTTAGGAAATTTGCTGATTATAATACAATACTGTTGACTATATTCACTATACCATGCATTAAATCTCTAGGATTTAATCTAAAAAAAGGCAAACTCATGAAAACAGAGTTAAATGGTGGTTACAAAGGGACAGGGATTGGGGGATAGGACAGTTGTTGCTCAGGAGTTCTTGAGGGTTCCTGAGGGAGCTGAAGACAAGGCAGAAGTCACCTGATACTCAAACTATATTTGTTCAATGGAGCTGCCAGTGTCCCCCTTGATCTTTTCCTTCTCATTTCTTTCAAATAGTTTTTGAAACCACCCAATAGTGAAGTGTTGTGCATCCTTGGGGCTGGGGTCCAGGCGTACACTCATTATGAGGTCTTCACAGAGCAGTTCTCCTATGAGGAGGTAAGTCTAGGGCAGGCTAAGAAGTGGGAGGTGGGAGAGCTACCATGATCTTTGTTTCTGTTCTGTCACTACAACATGGATTATGCTGAAATAGTTAGGTGGAGAGTCCCATTTAGACCATTATTTTTTTAAAATCCTCATCTAATGGTATGTTTATTGATTTAGAGAAAGAAGAATGGAGAGAGAGACATCGATGTAAGAGACAAACATTGATCGGTTGCTTTTCATATGCTCCCTGACTGGGGATTGAACCCTCAACCTTTTGGTATATGGAACAATGCTCCCAACAGCTTAGCCACCTGCACAGGGCTAGACCATTCTTTTAATGACTTTCCCAGAAGTCCTGTTTTAGGTGAAGAGTAGGGGGGAAGGTCTGAATCACCTCCTTTCTGTTTTTCATTTCACAGGGTTTGCCTGAGGCTGCAGTCAGCCCACTCAGTTAAAGGATTCTGTTATTCTATTATATAATACACTCATTTGTCCTTTTGGCCCCTTTTCCTACTTCTCTTAGGAGAATCTGGGAGTCCTTAAGTATTTGGAGTTATGGTTCCAGGGACTGGGAATGAGACCTAGAGAGCAGGAGGCCATAGCATCCCCCTTCTCTAGCCCACATATGGGCCCACTTTTCTCTAGTTGTGGCTCACACTTCCTACTGAGAACATTTGATTCTGTTTTTATTTTCTTTTTAGTATACGTATGAGAGGGATGAAGCATATTTGAAGTATGATTTTATTTAGGGTAAAAATTGTACCTCTGCTTTGGGAAATGGGGAATATAAGGAAGAAAACAAAAGAAAAATATCCTTTTATCTTGTTTAAAACAACAAGAGTTAACATTTTCAATCTTCTGTCACCAGCTTTTTATAACATAATTTTAATCGTGTTAGATATACAGAGTTATATATCCTGTCTGTTTATTAAATGTTCTAACATCATTATTTTTACAGATTCCTTAATATTTATATAATATTTGCTTAACGTTCAATCAAGAAGGGTGGTATGGTTAACCATTCTGTTATGACTGGGCATATTGTATTGGTTTTCAACTTGGTTGATGAACTTATTTAGATGTAATGTTTATGTCTATATTTATTATATTTCTTTATGAGAGATTGTTTAGGTCTTATTTACAATTGAAGGCTAACAACCCCCTCCCCAGACATGGATATTTACTAAGCCAGCTATCAAGTCCTCACCTCCAGATTCTACCTGTAGTTGCTACTCTTGGCCTTCTCATATGCTAACCACTCACTTCTCAAATGCTTCTGATCTTTAATTCCCTAATGTCCCTCTTGTTACCCCCAATGAAGGTGAGGATATGGAACCGCACCAAAGAAAATGCTGAGAAGTTTGCGGACACAGTGCAAGGAGAAGTACAGGTCTGTTCATCAGTCCAGGAGGCTGTGACAGGTGCAGATGTGATCATTACAGCCACCATGGCAACAGAGCCCATTTTGTTTGGTAAATGGGTGAAGGCAGGGGCTCACATCAATGGTAAGCAGAGTGGCTTCATGAGCCATTGGTAGTTGGTGGCCACTACCAACTACCACTACCTAGGTCCTAGGCTGGACCAGGGAGCTGCATCTGCAGAGCTATGTTACTTCTGCAAAATGCCTGAGCTTTTTAAATGCTTCAGAAACATGTGAGCCCTGAAAAATAATAGTCACTGCAAAACATGAAATGAAAATCACAAAGCTGAAACTAAGACAATTTCTATATAATGTAACGTTATGGAAAATGGTCAACCACAGCTCAGTTTTTAAATGTAATAAAGTTTACATCATAAAAGAAAATAATTACAGCACAAAAGACATTTAATGTGAAATGTGGTTGGTTTTCAATATGTGATCATAGGTGCAACTCTAAACATAAGAGCTCCTGGGGACTCTGAAGATCCTTAAATGGCCATAGGGTAATAGCAAGAACTATTGCAGGTGCTATTCTAAATTCTTTATGTGCATTATATATCATTTAATCCTTACAACAACCTTATAAGGTAGTAGCTATTATTATTATGACCCCCATTTTATAGATAAGTAAGCTAAGGCGCAGAGAGATTACGCTACTTGCTAACTGGCCCAAGGCCAGAGGTCCTTAGTGGTAGACTGAGATTTGAATGGAGGCATTCTACTCTCAGAACCCAAGCTCTTAAATACTACTCTGTCTTATCTTTCAGTAAGAAGACTAGATTCTGGTAAGTGAGCAAACACTAGAGGATTTAAGCATGCTATTAGGGCCCCATGTTTTAATGACAAGCATATAGTGTGAACTCAAAGGCCAAGATCTCTGTACACATTGGCAGATAAATTCATAAGAACCCAGTGTCATGATTATGCAGTCATTCATTTACAAATGTTTATTGAATTGCAGCAATGTGCCAATTATTGCTCTAGATACAGGGGTTGTCACAGTAAACCAGCATTCAAGGTCACTGCTTTCCTGGTGCTTATACTCTTGAGGGGAAATAGACAACAAAGAAGTAAACAAATAGGTGAACTGGAGAGTTCCAGCCACAGATAAGTTCTGTGAAAGGAAACAAAGCATGGTATGTTGAAGAACTGGCCAGACCAGATTGAAGGTCTGAGACTGCAGAACTGGAGTTATGATGGCATTCAGGGGCAGGTAGTAAGTGGCTTAGCTCATAGGCAAAAGATGGATCAAGTCAGGCTTTATGGAAAGTAAGACCATTTCTGAAGGGATTTTGGAAATCAAAAGAAACCAGTTCTTGGTGAAATGGACAAGAGCTGAATCTTTAGCAAGACTGACTTGATGGGTTTTTTTTTTTTAGCTTTAAACAGTACATATTTATTATTTCACAGTTTCTGATTCAGGAGTCTGGGTATAGTTTAGCTGGGTCTTATGCCCACCAAAGATGAAACCAAGCTGTTACTCAGGCCACAGTTTTTGTGGAGTGTCCTTCCAGGCTCACATAGGTGTGGCAGATTCCTTATGCTGTAGGAAGAAGGTACCCATTTCCTTAGGTACCTGGATGTTCCTAGAACCAAACTCCACATTCTTTACCATGTGGACACTCCATCTTCAAAGCCAAATAATGGTTATATCATACCCCTCTCACACTTTGAATCTCTCTACATGAAAAGCCACCTGATTTTGAGTCAAGACATCTCTTAAATTTTACTGGCCCAAGGACAAAATTGGTTTATGTGTTCACAGAGGTGTCAAGTATACTTAAGAAAAGTGTGTTATAAGTGCAGCTAACAGGGAAACACCCAAAATAGATTTGACTTACTTTGCAACCTGTCTGAGAGGTAGGCTCAGTTCCAGCCCCACTCCACTTTCCTCATCCTGCTCAAGCCCCACCACCCAGTATGTAACCTTCACCCATTCTAGCCCCCTGAAGCAAGGTCAGAGTCCAGCCACAACCAGGACCCCCTTTGCCACCTGGACACCCCTCCATCTGGCTGAGTGGGCTCAAAAAGCCATCTGAGAACTCGTCCTATTCAGAAGAATGGGGGGAACAGAGTAATGAGAAAAGGCAGCCTAAGAGGCTGGGGGTTTTCCCATCACCTGATTTATTTCTGAGCTTCATTAGTGATTTTATACTATAGAACTCCTCACACAAACAACCTTCAAGAATTTTTCTTCTATAGAGTAGACATTACTACCACTCTCTTTGAAAAGTAGAGTATGGGACTTTCTGTCTTAAACCATTTTCTCCCCCATCCAACTGATCACAAAAATGAGTAGGTGGAACCTGTGAACACAAGGATACCTGCTGGAAGAGGAAACCCAACAACAAACGAACAACAGATAACAATAGTAGAAGGTGAAAGAGGGAATGGAAGCCACACTAATTGCCACCCAGGACCTATCTGGAAGTACAAGTAAATACTGGAGAAATTACCCATAACAAACAACTGAACAAGAGCAAGAGAGAATCCTAAAAACCTTGTACACACAGAAGAACCAGCTTCAACACAACCTGCCCACAGCAGCACAAAAAAATACAGGAGATGGTGGACAGAGTGACCCTCAGTTAACAGATTGGTGGAAAGGACTCACCAAAGAAAGCCTCAACAAAAATCAAAACCAAAGACAAACACAGAGCCAACTTAAATGACACCTCAAAACAAGTGAGCTCGGGAGATCAAGGAGATAGCACCACTGAATCTCACAGGTATTCTACCAAAAAATTTTACAGCAAAAACCCAGGGAGTCCAAACAGATCAATTTAAGAAGCAGAGGCTAAAAATAAGAATCTCACAAACAATGGGAAGACAAAGAAACAATCCCCAAATGAAGGAAAAAGAGGGATCCTCAGAAAAATATGCTAAATGCAATAGAGGCAAGTCAACTATCAGAGTTCAAAGCAATGGTTATCAGGAAGGTCAGTGGGCTCACAGAGAATGAGCTTACCAGAAACTACAGGGAAAATTTGATGAACTCACTGAAAACTATATCAGCATGATAAGGGAAACAGAAACTAACAACAAGGGCCAAAAGGAAATGAATAATACAGTTTCTGAACTAAAGAACACAGTAGAAGGAATCAAAAGCACGCTCAATGAAACACGATCAGCAAGCTGTAGGAAAAGGTATAAAAAAACACCCAGAAAGATCAAGGAAAGGAAAAGAGGGTCAGAAAGAATGAAGAGGTATTAAGGGAAATGCAGAACAACATGAAATGTAATAATATCTATATAATAGGGATACCAGAAGGGGAAGAAGAAGAGCAAGGGATAGAAAATATGTTTGAATAAGTAATGATGGAAAACTTCCCTAATTTGATAAGAGAAAAAGTCACACAACTCCAGGAAACACAGAGTCCCAATCAAGAGGAACCCAAAGATGCCCACTTCAAAACACATCGTAATTAAAAGGGCAAAATTCCAAGACAAAAAGAGAATCTTAAAGGCAACAAAAGAGAAAAAGGAGATAACATACAAGGAAGCCTCAATAAGGTTAGCAGCTGATTTTTCAAAGAAAACACACCAAGCCAGACGAGAATGGCAAGAAATATTCCAAGTAATGAGACCTGGAGGCCTGCAACCAAGGCTACTTTAACCAACAAGTCTCTCAATCAAGATAGAAGGCCAAATAAGCCTCCCAGACAAAAGAAATCTAAAGAATACACTTCCATGAAACCAGCTCTGTAAAAGAAGCGAAAGGGACTGCTTTAAGGAAAGGAAGAAAAGGGGAGAGAGAGAGAGAGAGAGAAAAGAACACTAGGTATGAAAATGTCAATAACTAACTATCAATAATAACCTTACACTTAAATGTATTAAATGCTCCCATCAAAAGACATAGAACAGCTGAAGGGATGAGAAAGCATGACCCACACATATGCTGCCTAGAAGAAACCACCTCAGAAAAAAAAAAGAACTACACAGACTAAAAGTGAAGGGCTGGAAACAAATGTTCTAAGCAAATGGAGAGGGAAAAAAAGTCGGGGTAGCAATACTCGTATCAGACAAAATAGACTTCAAAAAAAGGGCCATAAAGAGACCTAGAAGGTCACTTCATAATACTCAATGGAAGAATCCATCAAGGAGACATAAACGTGGTAAATATATATACATTCAATATAGGAGCATCCAAATACATAAAGAAAACCTTGCAGGACTTCAACAATGATATTGACAGCAACATAATTATAGTAGGGGATTTTAACACCCCACTGTCAAAAATGGACAGATCTTCCAAACAAAATATCAGCAAAGATATTGTGGCATTGAACAATGCCCTAGATGAAATGGACTTAAATTACATATAGTTATTTAAATTATTACAGAACCTTTCATCCTAAAGAAGCGAAATACACATTCTTTTCAAATGCACATGGAACATTTTCAAAGATAGACCAATTGATAGGACACAAAATGAGCCTCAACAAATGCGAGAAAATTGAAATCATATCAAGCATTTTCTCCAAACACAAGGGACTGAAAATAGAAATGAACCCCATGAAAAAAAACTCAAAACACTCAAAATCATGAAGATTGAATAGCGTGATATTAAACAATGAATGGGTCAAGGATGAAATTAGGGAAGAAATCAAAAAGTTTCTGGAAAAACATGAAAATGAACTCGCAACAATCCAAAATTCATGTAACACAGTGAAGGCAGTCCTAAGAGGGAAGTTCATTGGAATATAGGCCTACCTAAAAAAACGTAGAAACATTTCAAACACACAACCTAACTCTATGCCTGGAAGAACTCGAGGAACAAAAACAAAGACAGCCCAGAAGTAGTAGAAGAAAGGAAATAACCAAAATCAGAGCAGATTTAAACGACACAGTGAGGAAAAGCACAATTCTAAGGATCAATGAATCCAAGAGCTGGCTCTTTGAAAAGATAAACATTATCAACAAACCTTTAAGCAGGCTCATCAAGAAAAAAAGAGAGGACCCAAATAAACACAATCAGATATGAAAGAGCAGAGATTACAAATGATACCACAGAAATACAAAGAATTGTAAGAAATTACTACAAAGAACTATATGCCAAGAAATTTGAAAACCTAGGTGAAATGGACAAATTTCTAGAAACATAGCATCTTGCAAAACTCAATGAAGAAGAAGCAGAAAACCTGAACAGACCAATAACAACTGATGAAATTGAAGCAGTAATCAGAAAATTCCTGACACATGAAAGCCCTAAAGTGGATGGTTTTGCAGGATAATTCTACAAAGCATTTAAGGAAGAGCTAACCCCTATCCTTCACAGAATATTCCAAAAAATTCAAAATGATGGAAGACTCCCAGACTCTTTTTATGAAGCCAGCATCACCCTCATTCCAAAACCGGATAAAGACACAACAAAGAAAGAAAACTTCATGCTAATATCATTGATGAACATAGATGCTAAAATTTTCGATGAAACATTGGCAAACAGCATTCAACAATACATTGAATAGATCATACACCATGACCAAGTGGGATTCATCCAAAGGATGCAAGGATGGTACAATATTTTCAAATCTATAAATGTAATAAATCACATAAAAAAGTAAAGACAAAAATCACATGATCATATCAATAGGTGTGGAAAAAGCATTTGATAAGGTACAACACCCATTTATGATGAAAACACTCAGCAAAGTGGGAATAGAGGGAGCGTTCCTCAACATAATAAAGGCCATATATGAGAGACCTACAGCCAACATCATACTCAATGGGCAAAAATTAAAAGCTTTTTCACTAATATCAGGAACTAGACAAGGCTGTCCACTTTCACTACTTCTCTTCAACATAGTATTGGAACTTTTAGCCACAATGATCAGACAAGAAAAGGAAATAGGAGGTATTCAAATAGGAAAGGAGGAAACAAAACTGTCACTGCAGAAGACATGATAGTGTACATAAAAAATCCTATGGACTCCACCAAAAAACTGCTCAACCTAATAAATGTATTTGACAAAACAGCAGGATACAAAGTCAGTATCCAGAAATCAAAGGCATTTTTGTATACCAGCAATGCAACAGCAAAAGCAGAAATCAAGAAAAAATCTCCTTCGATATAGCAATAAGAAAAATAAAATACCTAGGAATAAAACTAACCAAGAAAGTAAAAGACCTGTACTCAGAAAACTACACAATGCTGAAGAAAGAAATCAAGAAAGACGCAAACACATGGAAACATACCCTGTGTTCAGAATCAGAAGATTTAACATTATCAAAATGTCCATACCACCCAAAGGAATTAACTCATTCAATGCAATACCTATTAAAGTACCAATGGCATATTTCACAGACATAGAACAAATGCTTCAAAAATTTATATGGAACCATAAACAACCCTGAATAGCTGCTGCAATTTTGAGAAACAAGAGCAAAGTAGGAGGGATCACAATACCTGATACCAAACTGTATTACAAAGCCACTGTAATCCAAACAGCCTGGACTGGCATAAAAACAGGCACATGGACCAATGGATCAGAACAGAGGGCCCAGAAATAGACCCAAGTCTCTACAGTCAATTAATATTCAACAAAGGGAGCATGGACATAAAATGAAGTAAAAATAGCTTCTTCAACAGATGGTGTTGGGAGAACTGGACAGCTATGTGCAAAAAAATGAAACTCAAGCACCAGCTTACACTATACACAAAAATAAATTCAAAGTGGATAAAAGATTTAAAACAAGTCATGACACTGTTAAAGTCCTAGAGGAGAATATAGAGAGGAAAATCTCAGATATTTCATGCAGCAACATTTTTACTCATAGAGCCAGGGATATAAAAGAAAGAATAAACAAATGGGATCTCATCAAAATAAAAAGTTTTGCATGGCTAAAGAAAACAGTATTAAAATAAATGAAAACCAATCATATGGGAGAACATATTTGCCAATGATACCTCAGACAAAGGTTTAATCTCCAAAATACATAAAGAACTTACACGACTCCACTCTAAGACAACAAGCAACCCAATGGGCAAAAAAATGGGCAAAGGACTTGAACAGACACTTCTCCAAGGAGGACATACAGAGGATCCAGAGAAACATGAAAAGGTGCTCAGTATCATTAACTATCAGAGAGTTGCAAATTAAAACCACAATGAGATATCACTTCACACAAGTCAAATGGCCATCATAAACAAAGCAACAAACAACAAGTGTTGGAGAGGTTAAGGAGAAAAGGGAACCCTAGCACACTGTTGGTGCAATTACATAGTGATACAATCACTATGAAAAACAGTAGGGAATTTTCTCAGAAATCTAAAAATGGACCTGCCTTTTGACTCAGCAATTTCACTGCTAGGATTATATGCTAAGAACTCGGAAACACCAATCCAAAAGAACCTGTGCACCCCAATGTTCATAGCAGCACAATTTACAATAGCCAAGTGTTGGAAGCAACCTAGGTGCCCATCATTAAATAAATGGGTCAAAAAACTATGGTACATTTACACAATGGAATTCTATGCAGCAGAAAGAAAGAAGGAGTTCTTACCCTTTGCAACAGCATGGATGGAACTGGAAAGCATTATGCTAAGTGCAATAAGCCAGTTGATGAAAGACAAATACCATATAATCTCATCTTTAACAGGAACCTAATCAACAAAACCAACACACGAGCAAAATATAACCAAAGACACTGAAATAGAGAACAGGCTGACAGTGACCAGAGGGGAGAGTGGAGGTAATTTCAGGGGAAAAGGGGAAGAGTTTACAGGAACAAGTATAAAGGACACATGGACAATAATAAAGGAGGGTTGAAATGGGAGGGAAGTAGGGAGGGCTAGGGGTAAAATGCAGAAAACTGTACTTGAACAACAATTAAAAATTTAAAAATAATTTTAAAAAGAGAAAAACTGAGTAGGGGAGAATGGAAACAAACAAGCAGAGAAAACTAGAAGGCATGTAATGCTGCCTTACATTGGAATAAAGCTTTATAGCACTTTCCCAAGGATGGCTGGATCAGCCATCAGATGTGTTCTGTTTGGACCATAGAATGTTGTAAAAATCAAGAAATAACATATGGAAATAGATTTTCTGCTTTAAAAAAAAAGAATTAGAGTATCTAGCAGTGGACCTGTGTTCTCACATGCCTGCAGCTAGCTGGAGCTGAACAATGCCTACCCTCTTTAGAAGGGTCTGCTTTGTTCTGTATAGTTAGGTCTCCACCATTTCCAATCCCATCCCATCCCATCTGCTCATAGTCATCACCTGCCTGGGCTGGCAAGTGTCTGGTTGCAGCCTGTACGTTATCCCAGGTACTGGTGCCAGGAGTCATCATTGTGGTTCAGACTCTGCAGAGCACATGAATACTTGGCACCAGTTTGCTTTTAATTGGACTTTCTCCATGATTCTGACACTAAACTCCCTTGTCACACTTAAGAAATAAGTGGTTGGGGGGTGAGGAACAGGAATGATGAAGAATAAGCAAACAGAGGAGTGTGGGGTATGAGGATGCTGCACATGATGTTTGTTTCAGAGTTGGGGAAAGGAAGTCACTGCCCCCACAAATAGAAGCAGCACAAAGGGAATGGCACTGTTTCAGAGCCACAGGTATACACACATTAGATATATAACCTTGACAAGCACTTTCATTTCTTTGAGCCCCAGTTAGTGCATCTTTTAAATGGGAATCAGACATGAAATGAACTTGGAAGGACTGTAAATAGGATGTGTAAAACATCTCACAGATAGTAGGTATCCAATAAGTGAAAGCTAAGTTGCCTCACAATATTTTAGGAATAAAATAGGATATGAAGTGGAAAGGCAAGAAATGGCAGGTGTTATTCTTGTTAATGCGTATCCAGTGTTGCTGATTGGGAGGGGTTGGCCTAGAGATATGAGACATTCTGAATCTGAGTATACCCACACATCTTCTGTCACCACATTTCCCCACCTGTCTTCCATTCTTGAGTGTGTTTAATATCCTTCATGACTGTTTCTGGGCTCAGGGTCTGTTTGCTGTTTCTCAGCCATCGGAGCCAGCAGACCTGACTGGAGAGAGCTGGATGATCAGCTGATGAAACAGGCTGTGCTGTATGTGGATTCCCGGGAGGCAGCCCTTAGAGAGTCTGGAGACATTCTCCTGTCCGGGGTGAGCCTTCTTCACTGTAGCTGCTTCTCAGGTGGCCTTGCTGGGGTCCCAGGCTTGCATTAACTTCCCCTTCTCTTTGGCTTGCTCAGACTTCATTTACCCCCAACTCTTTGTAGGGTGAGAGAGTCTAAACAATCTCAATCATTCCTAATTCCCTGTCAGAATAATGTGGCCATTTTGCTGGTGCCATGTGTAGTTTTTATCCTCTTTGCCTATAGAAAAAAGCTTGCTGGATTTTTTCATTGGACTGGGCTATCCTATAAAGCAGTAGGATTAGAATTAGGATTAGTAGGATTCCTGACCTGTCGCAGCCAGGAAACCTCCCCAATGTGGCCAACAAAATAACACTATGGTTGGCCACATTTTACCTTCTTTTTTATTTGTATTCAGGGCATGTAAACCAGAAGGGAACTGCCAAAATTAGTGATGACATGAGAACACACCTATTTTCTACTGACACAGGATTCTGGCAGGACATTTCCTGGCCACAGACTTGTACCTTTGCATTCATGGTATCACAAAAGCAGAATGTACCCAAAAAGGATTCTAGGGGGAAGCATCCCTTTGACATCATCCAGTTTACAAATGGTCTGTCTATAAATTTTCTTTTTTATTCAGTTCAAGGATGCCCTCCTGCCCTGGCTGTATAAGCCAACAGGAGCACTCATGAGCTCCATGGCCTGGGCCCATGTGTGTTCATTTCACAGGCTGAGATCTTTGGTGAGCTGGGAGAAGTGGTAAAAGGAATGAAGCCAGCCCATGGTGAGAAGACCACAGTGTTCAAGTCTTTGGGTAAGAACCATTTTTCCCAGGGCACAAATCTAACTAGGGCACAAGGCAGGTTTTAGTTCATTGGTGGGAGGAGGAATGAATCACGTTTCCATGACTGACTCATTGTGAAATCTATCATTTGGGTCAGTTATTTAAATGCCTTAGTGTAGTGATTAAACCCATGAACTCCAGAATCAGGTAGTCCTAGGCTGGATTCTCTTCTCTGCCACTCCTTGGACATACATCCTTGGCAAGTGACCTCACCTATCTAAGCCACTGTTTCTTTACCATCTGTTACCTTGAGTTTTTGTGAATATTAAGTGAGGTGTGTATGTAAAATGATTTGCACACAACAAGCATCAGCAGTCCGTCATTTAAACATCGATCTAAATGAAGCTACCCTTCAGAGGTGGGAGGTAAGGGATAAAATCGTTAAAATATGGAGAGTTTAAGGGAGATGTCCAATGTGAGAGGGACTCAGATAAGAAATACAGCCTGCGACTGCTTTTTTCCCTTCTTCTCTACCCTTCCACTTGCTGGTTTGAGTAGAGCTTCCACAGGGAGCCCCAGTACCACCTGAGCTGGTACAGGCAGAAGTCCAACAGAGGATGGGCTCATCAGTCTAGCCATCAGTCTAGCCCTCTCACCACACCAGATTTAAGGAGATGGACATACATAGAAACAGAGCTGGTATTCAACTGATATACCTAAAATATTGAACTACTCCCAAACTGGTTGTAAACAAGTGACTGCTCCTCAGGAATGCCCTCTTTCCCTCTGTAAAGATCTGTATTTCTTATGATCAAGCCCCAAAGCCTCAGTGCTCAGCAGAACATGAAGAATGCTCTTGCCACCTGCACTCATACCAGTGGGTCATTATTGGTGTCTTGCTAACTGGTAATATTTTTTAAATCTCTCATTTACAGGGGGACAGGCAAAGGCAGTATAAGCTTTACCCAAATCTTGGTTCAAAGATACCACACTGATCCAATTGTGTCTGAAAGTCTTTGAGTTCATAGCAGATCAGAGGTAATCCAACCCCTACAGGAAACAGAACGCTACAGAAAACTACTTTACCTTCTTGAACAATTTTTGTTTTCTCATTTTTGGGATTGGTTTATTGGCACATCCTTCCAACTAGCAGGTGCATATTAAGTACCTATTATTTTTCAGGCTCCATACTGGATGCAGTGGTGGCTACAAAAATTAGTCAAAACCAGACCATGTCCTTAAAGAACCTATACCCATTCAAGGCTAAAATATGTATCTAAAACAACAAGACAAGTGGGGTCACTGAGGGGTTCAGAGTTTGAACTAGAACAGGAGTCAGCAAACTACAGCCTGTGAAGCAAACCTGGCCCACCACTTACTTTTGTACAACTAGCAAGCTAGGAATAGTTTTTACATTTTCAAATGTTTGGTGGGAGGTGGGGGGAGATGAACAAGATTTTGTGACACATGAGCATTATATGAAATTCAAACTTTCATGTCTGTAAAGAAGTCCGATTGGAACACAGTTCATTTGTTTACTTATTCATGCTGCTTCTGCACTAACTACAATGGCTGAATTGAGTGATTGCAACAGATACCATATATGGCCCCCCAAAACTGAAATATTTACTATCTGGCCCCTTACTGAAAGTTTTCTGACCCCTGAACTAAACTTTGAATGATGCTTAAAATTTGTTTGGTGTACATGTCTTGCTTCATATCATATTCCTTGCCTTGTCCTGTCCTTAGCAGTCTCTCTAAGCCTGAATTTACCTGGATATCAGTCTTTGTTACCCTGGCAGACATTAGCACCATCGATAGTGCATCCAGAAACTCTTGGTCCCAGAGCTGTTTCAGGAAAAGCTGTTTGGACAAAAAGTGAACCAAATTTCTCTCCATTCCAGGAATGGCTGTGGAAGACACTGTTGCAGCCAAGTTAGTGTATGATTCCTGGTCATCTGGTAAATAAAACGAAGCAATGTTGTGTTGATGTGGATGCTGCAGCTCAAGAGGTGTTGCCTCCAGTTGTCTCATAATTTCTAAATCAAATGAGGGAACCCCATGCCCAGTGATCTGTAGTTTTGTGCTCATCATACCTTATCTTAAATAATGAGATCCACATTTGTGTTTGTATTTAGTGAAATTAGGTAACCATCCCTTCTGTTATGCCATATTACAGCAGCACTTACTTTTCCATGTATTTCATGGGCTTTTGTTATTTTTGGAAATAAAGCAATTTTCCATTTCTGCAGTTCTTGCTTTGATTACTTCTAGCCCTCATGGCAAGGGAACTGAGGGGATCAGGTGTTCCAATTCACTCATGGGGAGCTCCAATAACTATAATTAATTTTTTCTATTTTTAAGTTGAGGTACAATTTACCATAAAATTTACCAGTTTGAAGTGTACAATTTAGTGGTTTTTAGTACATTCACAGAGCTGTGCAACCATCACCACTGTTGGTGATGGTTCCAAAATTCCAGAACATTTTCATCACCCCCAAAAGAAACTCCATACCCACTATCAGCCACCCCTCATTTCCAGTTCTTCTCAGCCCCTGGCAACCACTAATATATTTTCTATCTTTCTGTATTTGCCTTTTCTGGACATTTGGTAGGAGTGGAATTATACATTATGCAGCATTTTGTTTTTCACTTTCTACAATTAAAGTTTCAAGGAACAATTCAGCTTTCATATTGGTAAGGGCTCCTTGGTCACAAGTGGTAGAAACCACAATTCATACTACTTTCAGCTGAGTCAGTGAATGAGGAGTAGAATGATTGACTCTTGTCATTAAGAAGCACTAGATGATGGTTTCAGCTATAGCTGTATCCAGGGGTTCCAAGTGTCAGCAGGACTGTTGCTCTCTCCACCTCTCACCTCTGTTCTTGTCAGTATTGGCTTCATTATAAAGCAAGTTTTCCCCTGGTAGTGGCAGGATGGATGCCAGCAGCTCCTGAATCAGTCTGTCATCTTCAGCAACCCCAGCAGAGAGATTTTCCTCAACAGTTAAAAGTCCCAGAACTGAGACTCACTGGACCACCTCAATCACATGCCCAACCTTGTGCCTAACATCATGGCTAAAATAGATGGAATACTCTGGTTTATTTGTGTAAGGCAGAACCTGGCTTCTCTGATATGGAAGTGGGAACCCTTTACTTGGCCTCATTTGCTCCCTGACACCTAAGACCCAAGCTAATTCTGTTTTGTTTATACATTTTGAACCAATTTTTTGGATAATCACAGACATAGTATTTACTCTTTAATTGGAACAACAGGACATGTTGAGGGAATGGTCGATAAGCTTATGGAGTCTACAAGTGGGATATCTTAATTCAAATAAAATGCAACTATTCAAAAATGTACAACTTAACCTTCTAATAACTCTTCCTGGCCTCACAGAAGTTTACGTTATTCACTGTGATAAAGGGATTATATGTGCTCCCTTTTTTTTAACCCAGCAATTTGATGGAGTTTTTATATAAGGTTTTTAAATCCATGTGTCCTTCAAATTTATACTTCTTTATTCCATCACAGAATTAATGTGAATGCCAAGAGGATGATTGGTGTGAGAGCTTTCAGTTCTACCAGCAAATATACTCCCCTCTTACCACATTTTTTGAACAAATTGCTACCCCTCTCCCTCTAGTAGAGCAGCATGGAAAATTCCATCTAGAAATGATCAACTCAGTAAAAGAATTAGAACTAATTCCCACAAGGCTGACTTCCAATAACATTCCCACAGGCTTGCCTTTGCTTGTTCTCTCAAAGTGCACCTTTATATTTCCATAATTCTGTATTCTATCCTTCAAGTAGCAATGTGTGTTTCCAGCTCAAAATTCTTTGTACCACCTCACACTGCCTCTCATTTACTAGAATATGTCACCAGACTTTCTATATTCCTTTTATCTCTGACAGTGATACAAAACTCTATTGGAAAGCATACTTTTTGTTAAAGCAGTACTTCCCTAGTGGCTTCTACTTCTCCTATATCTTGGCAACAAGTGTCTCATCAGGCAGATTTTGGGAAATACCTAGATCCTGGCACCTACAGTAATAAAGTCCTAATGCCACAAATTTTCGAGGCCTTCTATGTGATAGCTGCTTTTTGCACATTATAGAAAACAAATACAACTTCAATTTATTCCAACCAACAAAATGCAGTATTTGTAAACATAATTGTTCCGTAGTGCAACATTTTTATTCAAAGACTGAGTGACAACCTCTCTGAATCCAGGCATTGTGGAAGAATGAACCAATTGTTCATCAGATTTCAGCACCTGTATCCTCCCTAAGTTTATGTCCTCCAAGGTGTTTCCTGAAATAACCCAAACAGATGTGAGTCAGGAAGCATGCTCAGGAAACAACTGTTTCTACTTTATACACATAATTGATGGTAAATTTCATTTGATGTAAGTCTGGCTATAAAAACCCAGTAAAGCTTAGCTATTCAGTAGAGTTTTGGTTTTAACATTGTCACTCAAAAAATGTCAGCAGCAATGTTGCAAATTTATATTATAGAATCTACATGAATTTAGACATGTAGCAATGATGATAAACAGTAAATAAAAAATAAGCACATAATGAGCATGAAAATATAAAATTTACTTTTACAATAAAATTTTCCCTACACAAATGTAGTTTTTTTCCTTTTTTCTTTTACTTTTTTTTTTAGATTTTATTTATTTATCTTTAGAGGGGAAGGGAAGGAGTGATGGAGAGAAACATGAATGTATGATTGCCTTATGTGTGTCCCCTGCTGGGAACTGGCCTGCAGGGGGAACCAGCCTGCAACCCACGCATATGCCCTGACTGGAAATCGAACCGCGATTGTCTGGTTCGCAGGCCTGCGCTCAATCCACTGAGCTACACCAGCCAGAGCTTCTTTCTTTGTTTTTTAAAGTTTGAGGAGTTACTTACCCTTAGAAAAAATTACCAAATATGCCAAACTTTTTTCCCACGTATTTTCTTCTTTCCTACCCCCTTGCTAAGGCACTATTTTAGTCTGCTCATGTTGCCATAAGAAACTACCACAGACTGTGTGGCATGAACAATAGACATTTATTTTATTACAGTTCTGAAGGCTGAAAGGTCAAGAGCAAAGTGTTGACAGATCTAGTGTCTCCTGAGGCCTCTCCTCTTGGCTTGCAGATGGCTGTCCTCTCGCTGTGTCCTCACAGGGCCTTTTCTTTGTGCATGTGCATCTTTGGTGTCTCTTCCTCTTAAAGGACAAGAGTTATATGGGATTAGGGCCCCACACTTATGAACCCATTTAACTTAACAAAGGTCCTATCTCAAAATATGGTTGTATTGGGGGAGGGCTTCAGTATATGAATTTGGGGAAAACAATTCTGTTCATAGTAGGTATCCTATATTCTATTTTTCTCTTCATTCTCCCTACCTGATACTCTGTTTTCAGGTGAGAGTAGTGTAGTTCCATTTTCATTACTTGTAAACCTACAGACATCTGTTAAAACTTCAGACACATTTAAGTTGGGTATCAAATCTTAGGCCAATAGAGGAATTTTAATCTCTACCAACAAAGTCTAGAGCTAAGGACAAAACTTGTGTTGGAATCCCTGGACCATGAAAATCTGAAAGTAAAAAGCAGTGTGTTGAGAGATTATAATCTTAAATCCAGAGTTGGAAAAATAAAGTTTTTCTTCTTCTCCCTCATCTATTTAACCATTTCTAGATTCAAAAATATTAAAAAAGATAATTGAAGGGACATGCCAGTTTTTATTCCTTGCGTTTCTCACTGGTGGTTTATTTGTATAGGTATAGAGAATTTCTCAGAGCAGAGCTTGGGCCTCTTTTTGAGGCAGGCAATTCTAAGAGCTCAGACATCAGACATCTAAGAGCTCAGTGGTTTGGCATTCAGTAGAGAGAAGGTATTGCCTGGAGTGCTTCCAGTGGACCACAGCATCACCTCTCTGCTGCAGGCTCACCCTGTTTAGCCAATACTCCATCACAGGCTGGTGTCGACCAGTTGCCCAGGCTGTTGGAGCACTTGCTTCCTTCTGTTTATGGCATTAAGAACTTTCTTCCTGGGACCCAGCTGCATTTGAATGCTCTGAAGATCCTCATCAGAGCAAAGCAACAGAGCTTGTAGATCAATCTGCTCTCTCATGAAAAGGGAAAGAAACTTTTCCAGATGGTGAGACTGTAAGAATACTTCCAGGGGTGTAGCATCAACCACATCTTCCTCCCACTCCATTGCATCCTCATCCCAAGGCAGGTCATCTTTCAGGCTGTTCTCCTCTCCCTCCTCATCAGCCACCACTTCATCAGCCTGTGCTGCTCCTTGTCTCTGAAGCAATTCACTGGACACTTTAAACTCTAACTCCTTCTTGGTATCTGAGATGTATTCAGAGTTTGCTATTCTGTTCCTTCTAAAAACAATATTTCCTAGACCTGGACGGCTGAGAATGGATTCATGTCCCACACAGCTGCCCTCTGCTGAAACCTGGAGCTTCTCTTTGAAGTCCCCTAAGAATGTGTCTTCTTCTTCGTCTCTGAACACATCCATCACATTCCTCTGCTCATTTCTGTGCTCCTTCTCTACCTGCTGTGATGTATCTTTATTCTTCTTGAACTTTATCTTGAAGGTATCTTTAATGCCCTTAGACAGTGACCCAAATGTGCTGGAAGCCGAAGCATTTGAAAGAGATGATCTGGAAAAAGTGCTCTTGGAAAAAAAAGTACCAGATTCCTCTCTGTAGGTACGGGCCATCTTATTTTCATGCTTCTCCTGGAGCCTCTCACACTCTTTGATCTGTCTCCTGGCATTCTTCTGAGACTGTTCCTTCAGCTTAGTGACCTTCTTGGGGTTCATGATGTTCTGGGCAGTTGCTGCCTCATCCAGGAGAGAAACACATTCATTCTGCTCTCTGCTAGCGGCAGCATCCAGTGGAGACTGTAAGTCATTGTCCAAGGCAAAAATATTGGCACCTAAGTTGATTAGGAATGAGACGCAGTGGGCATGGCCATTGGAGGCTGCAAAATGTAGAGGAGTGTTTCCCCAGATGTCACATCTATTAGGGTCCCCCCTAGAAAAGAAAATATCAAAAACACATGCTATTTTTTTCTCTGAACAGAAGTGTAAAAAATTAAGGAACAAAATGCATGTTAATCCTGACTTGGCCATATTATAAGATAACTTCTCAAAGTCCAGACATGTGACATCCAGACATCACACAGTCAGAAACAGGAAGAGCCCATCTCTACCCTGGGTCTTATTTTTTAAGATTTTTATTTATTTATTTTTAGAGAGGGGAAGGGAGGGAGAAAGAGAGAGAGAAACATCAATGTGTGGTTGCCTCTCATGTGGCCCCCACTGGGGACCTAGCCCGCAACCCAGGCATGTGCCCTGACTGGAAATCAAACCGGCAACCCTTTGTTTCACAGCCCATGCTCAATCTACTGAGCTATACCAGCCAGGGCTATCAATGTATGGTTCCCTCTAGTGCATCCCCTGCTGGGAACTGGCCTGCAACCCAGGCATACGACCTGACTGGGAATCGAACTGCAGTTGTTTGGTTCGCAGACCTGCATGCAATCCACTGAGCTACACCAGCCAGGGCTGGGTCTTATATTTTAAAGCAGAAAAAGATTTCCAAAACACACCCTCAGAAAACAACTTTCATGTCTCATTGGCCTGAATTGAGTCACTTGCTTAATGAGAAGGAAATAGAGCTACTATGTTTACCTAAGATTAATTGAAATTTCTGGACTGCTGGTCAAGATGGTGGCATATGCAGACATGGCTTTAGTCTTCATACAACCACATCAAAATTACAACCAAAATATAGAACAACCATTACTCAGAACTGTCAGAAATCAAGTTGAATAGAAATCTTATAACCACAGAATTAAAGAAACCACAACCATCCAGACTGATATGAGGAGTGCAGACTCAGAATAGACTGGTCTCTCACTCATGTGTGGTGGATAAAAAATTGGGAGAGATATCTCAGGAGCAAAGAGTATCAGTCCCACACCAGGTGCCCCCAGCCCAGGGTTCCAGTGCCAGAAAGATAAATCCTTGTAACTTCTGGCTGCGAAAACTAGAGGGGATTGAGTCACTGGAAGAAACTTCTGGAACCCCAAGCAGTTCCTCTTAAAGAATCCACACACAGGCTCACCTTCTCAGACTTACTCCCTCTGAGGTCCAGCACTGGGGTAGCAGCTTGAAAGGCACTAGTGGCATACAGAGAGGAACTGAAGTGTCTGGCATCGAGGTGAGCAGAAGCCATTGTCCCTTTTCTAAACTTTCCACCCACATAGCTGGCAAGCTGATGCCATATATGAAACTCTATAAACTTGGCTAACACTGTTTGACCTGCCTTGGATATCCCCAGAGACTCTGCTCCACCCAACTTACAGACCCACCCATGCTGCTTTTCCAAGACTGGTGGCTCTTGGCTTATGTGTCACACCTTCCTAAATCCTATCAAACAAGCAACAGCTGGCCTCAGTTAGTCCCAGGCATGGCACTAGCAGTGTCCAGCCTAGATTCACATTTCAACTTTGCCTGGGAAACTCCAAGCCCTGCACAAGTAGAAGCTATCTCAGATTGCTTTATAGCTTAGGCAGGGTGGCCCTGTGAGAAACACAGGTGGGGGCTGACCTTGGCCTGCACCACCCAGGAAACCCCAGAGCCAGTGTACTCAGTAGACAGTTACAGACCACATTGGAGTGCTACCACCCTGCCCCTGGACAGAAGATCCTCCACAGAGAGTGGAGGTTGGTGGTAATTGGTCACAGACAGTCCTTGCAGCTGACTGGCCTGGATAAATCCCTCCTATTGGCCTGCTAAGAGCAACCAAGGCTCAACTACAAGAGGAGAGTGTACTTAGTCCACACAAAGGGTCCACCTTGATAGGGGAAGCTGTGCCACTGGACCCTACAGGACATATATAACATTAGGCCATGCCACAGGGCCTAATGTGAAATTTTTACTGTAGTCATAGGGCCAAATATACTACATTATATTTGGCTCTATGACTCCCTGCTAAGACAGAGTCGTAGCAGCTCTACCTAATACATGGAAACAAACAGGGAGGCTGCCAAATGAGGAGACAAAGAAACTTGGCCCAAGTGAAAGAGCAGATCAAAACTCCAAATAAGGAACTAAATAAAATGGAGATAAGTAATCTATCATATGCAGAGTTCAAAACACTAGTTATAAGGGTGCTCAAGGAACTTAGTAAGGACCTAACCAACAGTCAGAAATGAAGGATACACTAATTAAAATAAAGAATAATTTAAATGGAGACAACAGTAGAGTGGATGAAGACAACAATCAAATCAATGGTTTGGAACATAAGGAAGCAAAAAAAACAAGCAATCAGAACAACAAAAAGAAAAAGAATCAGGATTCTGGCCAAGATGGAGGTGTAGGGAGACACACACTGCCTTCTCACACAACCAAAAGAATGACAACAACAAATTTAAAAACAAAAAAACAACCAGAACTGACAGAAAATCAAACTGCATGGGAGTCTGGCAACCAAGGAGTTAAAGAAGAAACATTTATCCAGACAAGTACAAGGGGCAGAGATGGGCAGACAGGCAGAGAGGACTCATAGCAAGGCAATGACTGGAGGACTGGATGGTCCCACATTCACATATATATAAACTGAGAGGAACAACTGGGGAGCAAGATAGACCAAGCAACCCAGGGTTAAAGTACCAGAAAATAGACTCACGGCTTCTGACTGAAAACACCTGTGGGGGTGAGGCAGGAGATGGAGAAACTTCCAGACTCACAGCAGAGTTTGTTGAAGAGACCCACAGGGACCTTGAATGTACACAAACCCACATACCCAGGAACCAGCAACAGAAGGGCCCAATTTTTTTGTGGGTATTGTAAAAGTGAATGAAAACTGGCAGAGAGCAGGACAAGCAGCACACTTCCCTCTTGGATGCCTCCCCTACATACAGCATCACAATGCAGTAATGTGGGTTGCCCTACTCTAGTGAACACCTAAGGCTCTGCCCCTAGCTATGTAACAGGTAAGCAGAGACCAAAAAAATCCCAAATGAAACAGTACCAGAAAAAAATACAATTAAGCGACCAAGAGACAGCCAACCTATCACTTCAAAATACTGGTAATCAGAATGCTCACAGAATTGGTTGAATATGGTGACAAATTAGAAAAAAAATGAAGGCCATGAGAAGTGCAATAAAGGAAAATGTACAGGGAAGCAACACTGAAGAGAAGGAAACTGGTACTCAAATCAACAGTTTGCAGCAGAAGGAAGAAATGCACTTCCAATCAGAACAAAATAAAGAAACAAGAATTCAAAAAAATGAGGAGAAGCTTGGAACCTTCAGGACATCTTTAAATGCTTCAACATCTGAATCATAGAAGGTACCAGAAGGATAAGAGGAAGAGCAAGAAATTGAAAACTTTTTTGAAAAAACAATGAAGGAGAACTTCCCTAATTTGGTAAAGGAAATAGACTTTCAGTAAGTCCAGGAAGCTCAGAGGGTCCTAAAGAGGTTGGACCCAAGAAGAAACACACCAAAGCAAATCGTAATTATATTAGCTAAGATTCTCCAAACAAGTAAAAATGAACTCACAACAATCCAAAACTTATGGGAAACAAAGAAAGGAGTCCTGACAGGGAAGATCATAGTGATACAGGGCTTCCTAAAAAAGATAGAAACACTTCAAGTAAATAACCTAACCCTATGCCTACAAGAACTGGAGGAACAACAACAAAGGCAGCCCAGAGCAAGTAGAAGGAAGGAAATGCCCAAGATCAAAGTGGATTTAAATGACCCTAAAAGCACAATTCTGAGGATCAGTAAATCCAGGAGCTGGTTCTTTGAAAAGATGAACAAAATTGACAAGTCTTTAAACAGACTCATCATGAAAAAAGATAGAGGACTCAAATAAACACAATCAGAAATGAAAGAGGAGAGATTACAACTGATACCACAGAAATACAAAAGACTGTAAAAAATTACTACAAAGAACTATATGCTGAGAAATTTGGAAACACAGGTGAAATGGACAAATTTCTAGAAAAAAATATCATCTTCTAGAAGGGAATGAAGAAGAAGCAGAAAGCCTGAACAGACCAATAACAGCTGATAAAATTGAAGCAGTAATCAAAAACCTCTCGGCTCACAAAAGCCTTGAACCAGACTATTAAACAGTAGAACTTTATAAAGCATTCAAGGAAGAGACAACCCCTATCTCTCACAGAATACCCCCCAAAATTCAAGAAGATCAAGACTCCCAACCTCTTTTCATGAAGCCAGCATCATCTTAATCCCAAAACCAGATAAAAAATAATAAAGAAAGAAAGCTTTAGGCTGATATCACTGATAAGGAAAGATGCTAAAATCTTCAACAAAATATTGGCAGACTGTATCCAGCAATATGTTAAAAAGATGATACACCATGATCAAGTGGAATTCATCCCAGGAATGCAAGGATGGTACAATATTCACAAATCAATAAACATAATACATCACATAAACAAAAGACAAAAATCACATGATCTTATCAATAGATGTGGAAAAAGCATTTCATAAATTACAGCACCGATTTATGATAAAAACACTTAGTAAAGTGGGAATAGAGGAAGCATCCCTCAACATAATAATGGCCATATAGGAGACACTTACAGCCAACATTATACTCAATGGGGAAAAACTAAAATCTTTCCCACTAAGATCAAGAACAAGACAAGGATATCCCCTTTCATGTCTTCTATTCAACATAGCATAGGAAGTTCTAGCCACAGCAATCAAACAAGAAAAATAAATAAAAGCCATCCAAATTGGAAAGGAAGAAGAAAAACTGTCATTGTTTGCAGATGACATGAGAGTGTACATGGAAAATCCTATAGGATTCTTCAAGAAACTGTTTGACCTAATAAGTAAATTTGGCTAGACACCAGGATATAAAGTCTATATTCAGAAATCAAAGGCATTTTTGTACACCAACAATTAAATATCATAAACAGAACGCAAGAAAAAAAATCCTATTTGATATAGCAACAAGAAAAATAAAGTACCTAAGAATAAACCTAACCAAGGAGGTAAAAGATCTGTACTCAGAAAACCACACAACACTGAATAAAGAAATTAAGGAAGATACAAACAAATGGAAGCATTTACCATGCTCATGGACTGGAAGAATAAACACCATCAAAATCTCCATACTGCCCAAAGCAATTTATAGATTCAATGCAATACCTATTAAAGTACCTATGACATGTTTCACAAATATAGAACAAACA